TGTTGCGCTAGGTTTTTTTTTTTTTGAGAATATTTACCATAATGCCATTAATGAAAACGGGTCGGAACCGGGTTATCACCAAAGATCCGCGTGTTGGCCCGATTCTAGGTTAAAAAATGTCTGAAATTGATATTAAAATTACTGAAATTGTCACTGAAAAATTCCAAAATTACCCATTTTAATTGAATTTCTATAGTTTTAAACCAATGGCAATTTCAGTAATATTAGATAGGATTTTGGACATTTACTCTAAATGATTTTTAAAATTTAATAGTATAGAGATATTTCCATCGGAGAATTTTTTTTTTTTTTTCTCCTTTTTCATGTCGGTATTTTTTTTGTTTTTCTTATAATTGTTTGTTTACTTGAGCTGGGGTTTTTCTTTTTCTTTATTTTCAAGCCCCTCTCTCTCTCTCCTCATTCGAAGAAGAACGATGTGGGTGGAGATTCTCTGCGGTCTCGTAATCTACAAACTTTTTCGCCGATTCTTCTACGACGACGATGAGTTTTCCGATGTCGCGACCTCCGATTCCACTGCCCTCTTCTCCGTTGCTCACAGGTACACGCACCCTCGATTTTTCTTATTCTCGATCTTCAATTCTCGATTCCTTGAAACTTGTTAGGTTTCTGAATTGATGTTCCACTGAATCGCAGACTTGAGAAGCTTTATGGTGGAAAGGCTTATGTAGGGCTTCGAATTCCAGATGCAGACACTGCTTCTAGACAGGACATCGATGTAGTTCTCGTCACTAAAGGGTAACTTTTCTCTTGTATCTCTGTTTCGAAGAATATGTCTTGACTTGAAAAATTGATTTGTTGGTTTAGACAAGTTGTGGTGATCGCTGTGAAGAATCTATCTGGGATTGTCACGGTAACGAGTGATGGTAGCTGGGTTTGTGATGGTGGCAAGCATCATACAACTGAGACTTACCCTGATCCTGTAAGTTTCAAAATTGGTTGTTTCGTTTGATTTATAAATGTTTTGTTTTGCTGTACATGAATCTATCATTGCTTTTCTTTGTGCAATGATGCTTCCAGTTTGAATTAGCCTATTGTCGTTCTTGTGGGTGATTGATGTTCTAGATTAAAAGAAATCCATGAAAAAAATCTTAAGTATTTTGGAACTCTGTTACCATTCTTGTTGCATAACAATGTCATGGTGTGAAAATTGTACTGATTACTTTCGACGGCTTATAGGAATTTTCTGTTTCAAGACAAAACTCATTTCATGTAAGGTCCTCTTTGGACAACAAACAAAACTGAAAATCCGCCTATAGGTGTTGTGACAATGTCCAGAGTATGGTTGCACTTGAGTAGATTATGAATTGGTTTAGTACTGCTGGTGAAACAGTTGCTTCTTGTTGATTATAAGAATACACTTGGTTCTCCTTTCCTGTCTCATTGGTACTCCTGACACATTCCCGGGCAAGATATACAAGATGATATGGATAAGTTTCTTTAATCAAATGTCCAGAGTTTGTCTTGACATAGCAAAGCTGACTGGCATTATCCATCTATGCTACCTTGATTATAACTAATAGATGTGTGTTTTCTCAGCTTGCCGAAGTCAAGAAACAAGCTTCAGTTCTTGAATCATATCTTGAACAGAGGGGAGTTACTTTACTTGAAGGAAATCTGTCTTGCAAAGTTGTGATTCCCAATCCAAATTTTCGGTATGTATTGTTATCCTTGGTACCCTCAGTATTTTCACGTTTCCTCTTATGTTTGCAAAGAGCTAGAGAAAGAAACATCTATTGTAATTACAGAACCTTTTGAAGTGTGTTTGTGGGTGTGGCCATGTTAGTCTCTATAGATATTTTAAAATTTTCTAGTGATGGAAAAACATATGTTTCTGTTTCTTTAGTACAATTCATGCATTCCCAAGTGAGGTAATTACCTACGAAGAGTGGCAACAGCTGAAACCAGTATCAAGAAGTATACTTTCTGGTTGGGTCAAAGGCGCATTCGGCACAGGAAAAGAGATGCAAGAATCGTCGCATCAAAAACTTAATTTCATCCTTGGCACGGCACCAATGTGGGATAGGTCATACCTCTTATCTTTATTGACATTGAATTCAAATTTCCACCGAGGTAGTGAGAGTTTTGGGTTCTCTTGCCTCTTTGAAGTAATTTATTTCAGTAGTTTTATTTATATGATGGTTATGATGCAGGGTGGAGCTTAAAAGTAGCAAAATCGTGTTAGGGGAATTCCTCGAGTTTAAAGGAAAAGAGGAAGACACTTTGGCTTTGAGACATATCAAAAGATCAAAAGTTGACTGTATCTCTGTTCAGAAAACAAGCATGTTTGGATTAGGTAATCTCTCTTTCTTTAGACCTCAATTATTTGTTGGCGTTTACATTTAGTGTATATGTTATCTCAAACGAACTACAAGTTTTAAGTATTTAAAACAAAATTCATCTTTGTTTTTGTAAACGCAAAAGCCAAACACAAACAGAGGCTTCTTCCTTCTTCCTTCTGCGTCTGCATTTTATATGCAAAAATGTTTTATGAAAAAATACAAATGTTTTATGTATTTTCAAAATTTGGATCTTTTTTTTTCAGAGAATTCTTTTTCACATGTAAACGCAAGCGCAAATGCAAAAGATCGTCGTTTGGAACTATAGAGACCTTAATCCGCTTTGTTGTTTGTTCACAATAATGTGATTTCGACTCATGAAAATGTAAAATCGAAAAATGAAAGAAATCGAGCTTCTTTAACAAAAAAGTAAATTGGCTTTGCAGCTCCTTCAAGGTTGCAGGTTCTGTACTCGTATAGGGACTACAGAAGTGAAGGCAGTTCAGGATCAGAGTCGAAGGAAGTGACTGTACGGTCGAGCACCGAAGTTGTCTTTCAGCCTCGAGACTCTGCAAAGATGAAGAAATTCAAGCTATCGTCACTCGTCTCCATTACACTAAGTGCCTAACTTTTCTGTTCAAAAGACTGCAAAGGAAGAGGTTTGTGAATGTCTTCTATACGAATTACATAGGCCATGACTGAAATAAGCTTATTATTCACAGATATAGCAACCTTTTTATGAGGATAAACTTTCTTGTTTAGTGCTTTGCTCTATAGTCTATACGTTGCACCACCCTCTTTATTGGCTTTTTTTTATATATAAAATTGTAAGTATGAAAGGGCGATTCCTAGGCATATAAGGGGGGATCTATTTGTATTAAGAAAAGGGTTATCAAAGGACAAATACGCGTACCTAAGGAAGCTCTGGCCGGGGAAATAAGGGGGAGGAGGATGCTTAGTAAAAAAGGTACTCATGTTTAGGATGATGCATGAATCAATCATCCATAAACTAATGCTAATGCAATCAATCTATTATGCCAAGTACAGTAATAGCGTCTCATTATACCTATTCAAGAGTCAATAAATATACTCCTGCCTCATCTATTCACTCTATCTCAGTTTGATCCTCCTGACCTTGGTTGAGCCGTTTGCAATCAAGACATGCATTGGGCCTATTGGCGAACTATTTCGGTCCCCAAATCTCTTTCTTGACAGTGATTCCGTTCAGCTCCGAATTGATCATGATCAAAAACAAGTCATGCAGAATAAAGAAAAACGTGAACTATGCCAAAAATCAACTTTCTCAAGTCATATGAACCTAAAATTTATGAACCCGACCATAACCCATAGTCTGTCACTTACTTTAACCACACAAATCCCATGACACTCCCTTGTCGTGTTCATTATGCATGCTTCCGTTTAATAGCCTTAACCATATTTGTGATCTTTGCTAGAACTGTCAATTGGACGGTCAGTCTGTAGACAAGGTCCAATCCGCATCAGTTTGGACCGAACATGGAAATGTCCAAAACGAAAATAATGGTTGTGAGTACTAGGTATGGACATTCAGATCCTTGGTTCGGTTTCGATTCGGATCTTCGGTGTAAAACAAGATCCATATGAGAACCGTATGATTTTTGGTTTGGTCTGATTCGGTTCAACTATGGTCCGATTCATTTCGGTTATACAATTAGAAGAACTCTAAGAGAACCAAACTACAGACGAGATTAGTTCGATTCAGAAAATTACACGGAGAACCGAAGATCCGAACACTATAAAATTAAATTACAATTACTAAAATGAACAGGTTTTGTCACAACCTAACAAAATGAAGCACAAAATAGTTTTGTTGTTGTTGTCGAGTTGGGTTACGGAAGTGTCGAGTTGAATTGGTTTTTGAATGGCGTTACATGTTTAATAGAATTATTATTAATGTCCAGTTTTTCTATACCGATATGGATCTGTGGTTCGGTTTCGGTTCAAATCAATACTTACTGGATCTAAAGTTTGCGGTTCTTAGCGCAGAACCGAACCAAACCAGTATCCCTTTATTCTGTTCGGTCTAGTTCGGTTTCTCGGTTTCTGTTTCTGTTTCTCATGCCCACCATAGTTGTGACTTGTGAACCGACTTATTTTAATAAATATATCCTCTAGAGTTGTAAAAGACTTGGTCTTATGAAAAAATTGGACTATGATGGACCAATAGAGAAATATGAAACACCGGAAAGTGTTTGTATTCAACAAATTTCAACAACACTTTCCATTTGTGAGGCGTATCAACTCAATAATCAATGAGTCACAATAACGAGTGGAC